GCCACCCTCCCTTGGCCAGGAGCTCCCCGGCTGAGGTTTCAAAGGGCGTTTTCTCCTTGGCGGCATCTCTGAGATGCTCCCGACCGCTGAGACCCGGCAGAGGGATTCAGCCCTGCCGCTGCTGCAGACGGCTGGACTGGCCAGAGCTTCCTCGGACCACGCTCAGGTCGTGCTCCGGGGATCAGCCGCTGGCTCCCCGGCCACCAGCAACTGGCTGCAGCCCCTGCCCGGCTGGACAGGCCCGAGCTCAGTGGGGAGCTGTGGGGCAGCCCCTCTCCACTGGGCGTATTCCCATCTCTGAACCCACAGGCCGTCCTTGTGCCGGTCCCCTGCAGCCGGCCCTTCCCTGCTCGATGGCTGCCGCAAGGTCACCGCCCTCCCTCTTGCCCTGTCTGTTCCTCTCCAGGTTTGTGCTGCTCCCCCGCCTGCTGAAAGGGCATTTGGTGTTTGCAGGGAGCTGGATGGTCTGAAGAGAGGAGCTGTGGGGCTCTCCGAGGAGCCTCGGCACTGCCAGTGAGGCAGCATCATGCTGGCTCCGAAGAAAGGCCTGCTGTGCAACCTCAACCACATCCATCTGCAGCACATCTCCCTGGGGCTGCACCTCTCCCGGCACCCGGAGCTCCAAGAGACCTCTGCCTCCATGGGTGGAGGAGACCAGACCGGCTGCAGCGACTGCCCGGAGAACTGTGAGCAAGTGGATGCCAATTCCAACAATCCTTCCTTGAAATGCCGGTGCTGTGAGTCCCACGCTCAGCAGCCGGTGACGTTGGGTCTCCAGAATCAGGCAGCTCAAGAGGATTTCCCCTGCCTGCATACTGGGGAGGAGGTGGCTTCCCCTTGTGATCCCCCTTGTGATCTGGCTTCCTCCTCCTCCTCCTCCTCCTCCTCCTCTGTATGTAGCTGCTCGGATTTCAGCTTGGATGACTCTCCGGTCTCCGTGTACTGCAAGGCGTTCTCCAGAGAAGAGTCCCAATCCCCTGAAAATCAGCCCAGTGTCATTCCCATAGAAGATGCCCAGGATGGCCAGTCGTTGGCTGACCAGAGTAGGACGTGTGATGGAAGAGATGCCAACTTCAACCCCGCGGTGCTCGAGAGATCAGACGCCCTGGCTGGAGGGAGCCCGGACAGCCTCTGCAGCAGCACCTCGCTTGACTCCCAGTGCGATGAGACCTCTCCCAGTGTGGCGGTGCAGTAGAGCACCAGCATCTGCACCAACCTAGACCCTAACTGCAACTCCCTCCCCAACGCTGATGCCGTGCCTTCGGCACCGCCTGTGCCAGGACGGTGGGATCCTGGTCTGAGCAGTGCTCCTGAGCCGCGGCCCCGGGCTGGCAGCATCCCTCCGCCTGTGCCCCCCCGGCCCCGGAGACGGCTGCTGGTTCTCAATGCGCATAGAGCAGAGCAGCCGCTCCTGCCTGCGCAGCCGGCGGAGCCAGAGCCCAGCTTGGGTGACCTTTGCAGAGACGTGGGCAAGAAGACCATCACCTCCTTCCATGAGCTTGCCCAGAAGAGGAAGAAGAATGCCGCTGGGCCTGCTCTTGCCCAGGCCAGGGCCGACCGGAGCGATTGGCTGATCGTATTCTCACCTGACACGGAGCTGCCGCCTCCCAGTGAGCTCCTCTCCAGTGCCACAGGACAGGAGCCAGCCCGGCCCCAGCTCCAGCACGACTGGCCAGCGAAACCGCCCAGCTCCAGGCAGAGAGAGGTGACCACGTTCAAGGAGCTGCGGTACCGCAGTGCCTCCAACAAGCCCAAGGGCCAGCCAGCTGGTGAGCGGGCAGAGCTGGTGGCATCTCAGCACCCATCTGCACCCCTTGAGATGGCTGTAGGCAGCGACGGCTCAGGCTGGATGCCACCCGTGCCTCTGGGGGGACACTTGCTGGCACCTATGGAAAGCCACCAGCCAAAGAGGAGGAGATCCCGACCGGGACTGCAGCCCATTGCGGAGGGACAGCCGGGGGATGCAGAGGAAGGGGGGCTGCCACCGCGAAGCTGCCTCCCAGGAGAAAAGGGGCTGGGCTCTGGCTGTGATAAAGATGCCCTGGTTCAGAGGCTCAGGGGACCTCGTGCGAACCCCTGGGTGCCAGAGACGGTCAAGAGAGGAGACAAGACCTGCAAGGAGGGTAAGAGTTTGGGTCCCCTCTTCCAGGCTGGGTGCAGGGGTGTCACCTTTTAGGGGACTGAGTGGGGCAAGGGGGAGCTGCAGGCTCCAGCGCGGCAGCCACCTCTGGGGCTGCAGGACTTGGGGTGGGCGGCTGGTTGCGGAGGCGGTGGGTGTGTGTTGCGGTTGCACGCCGAGCTGGCCTGCCCCTCGCTAGCTGGCACGAAGGTGGTTTCTGTGCCCCCCGATCGCTCTGTGCCGGACAGGGCCGAGGGGCTGCGGCTGCCCTCGGCTTCTTGCATGCATGGGTTTCCCCCTCCGCACCTCCGGCTGTGCTCGGCTGGGGCACACGGCCCGGGAGGTG